AGCATCTCAATGGGACTTAGCTCAGAGCATTGATGAGTCTCAGTTGTCTCTAATCTCTCCCCCTGTTGGTGAGGTTGTGAAATGGAAGAGACCACCTGCACCTTGGCTTAAGTGTAATATTGGCATATCTTGGTCTAGACGCAATAGTGTAGGTGGTTTCTCTTGGGTTCTAAGAAATGATAGAGGAGTGGTTTTGATGCATAGTAGAAGGTCCTTTTCTGGTATAAGGAATATAGAAGAGGCTCACCTGAAAAGTCTACTATGGTCAATGGAGTGTATGGTAGCTCATAGGATTGATAGGGTTATCTTCGCCTCAGATGCGATGGAGTTGGTAAAGGCCATCAATAATCCCTCGGTTTGGCCTAAATTTTGGTACCATGTTTCCGAAATGAATCTTGTTTTGTGCAATTTTGAGTTTTGGAGGATGGTTTTTGAAAGTCGATCTGCAAACAAAGGAGCTTTCTTGATTGCTCAAAGTGTTACGCTTCAGAACATATGGCACTCATACGTTGCTCATGGGTGTCCGGTGTGGTTGGCCGAGCTGTTTGATAGTGAGAAAGGATAGTTTGTTTGCTTACTCGACTTTGATCTCTTTATGTTTTTGTGACTTACTAAGTTATGTATTATCAAACTCTTATCTTTGATATAATATTAACCAGATGACCAAAAAAATATATATAAACTGCTTAATTGCGAAGAATATAATCAAACCCACATAGCATATATAAGTAAACCATTGGTAGAACACAGATTAATATTTTTCTTGTTAATGTTTTCGTAGATACCTTAGTTTTCGTCTATGTAGCTTATGTAACAATTTTTTAGAATTTCTTTTTTACATTCAACGTTCTGATTCGCAAACGCGGTTGGTTTTGGAAAAAAAAAAACTATGTTTTTAATGAGACATAAAACTTATAAATAAAATCGTTGGTGTATTCTCAATCTTTCATATCTATTTCATGATATTCAATAGTGAAGAACATTTTAAATCTATAATTTTCACATTGGTTTATAGTCTTATTTTCTGATTATGGTAATGTTTAAAAAAAAAGTCAATTACATAAAATACTTGTTTGATTGGAGTTAACTGACACACTAGACTAATGAAATCAATTTCCTGTGCACAATTTATTTACTCCATGTACCACATTAATTTTTTGAGTTGGTGA